CGATCTCTACAGAAAAATGGGTGGCACTCAGCCTTGCCAATTCTCTGTCTGGTGGCGCGCGTGCCGCCATGCGTGGTTGTGGCATGGCGACCTTTTCATTGACTCGCCCTCTAGGGACTAGGCGCTGCAGTGCAAGCACTCTCTGCGCCTCCTGCTGACGAGCGCGCTCCTCCAACACATCCCTTAAGTCTTTCGAACGGTCGAAGCGAGAATACCTCGACGTCGTCGTCGGGCGTGAGGGGTGGTAACTGCTGCCCTGTGTGCGAGATATCATCGCCGGTGCTACGTAGTCTCCAGCTCTGAAGCTTCTAGTGACAGAGAGTGAAGGGGTGCGACGTCTATTAAGACTACCAGAACGGCGGGAATGAGCGTGCTTATTATGGTTTCCCACTCCAGCAATGCCCTTTCCCTTCATCTGGCGTCTCATGGCCTCCATCTCCGTCACTATTTTCTTGATGATGGTATCTTGGTCTCTCAACTTGTCTTCCAAGTGTTGAGTGTGTGAATCTTGCCGTCAGCAACGCTCTTTTGGAATGACAAAGCGCCCAAAACTCCTTGCGCGCTTGTCTCGCATATCCCTGGGAAGTCCTTGTGCGGAGGTCTCCAAATCAGCCATCGTCGAAATGGCGGACAGGCCATCTCTGAGACAAACGGACTCTGGCGTGATGCCATCGATGGCGAGTAACGGAATGTCGTCATGGTTCGCCATAAAAGATGACCGGAGAAGCTTGGAGGACAAGGTTTTGTCTATCGATTTCCCACAGACGGCGCCAATTGTACAGGGGCAAATATTCGGTACCGCCTGTAATCCTTGCGTTCAAGCTCCGCTTCGATCCGATTAACCTGCGAGCACAACGGCGGCGAGCTACCCGGCGGTGTGTTGTCGGAAAACCCCTCCGACGGTCAAGTTAGCACACACTCAGAGATAGCGAGAGAGAGGAAGAGAGTTTCTCTCACCAGATAAAGTCTTCTGCCTAGCATGGGGGGCGCAGTCATGCTTTTATACTTTCTGCGTTCACCTCTGCACCCATTCGTCTATTGACACGTGGAGCTGCTCTCCCATCTGTTAGTACAAATCCAGCTAAACACCACTTAACCAAACTGCCAAACGGCGTTGGCGCGAACGGACAACTCGGCGGCGCTGCACCATCTTCCTACGACCGTATTACTTCCAGGACATGCAATGCTCTGAGTCAAGCTCCATTATGACCAAGCTTAGTAGCCCCCCGTAATGACTAAGCACTTGCTCGGTTGGCCGGTTTGCGGAGGATATTGCACGTCGATCTCAACGAGCAAACAACACGAACCGGGCTAGCAGAGAGGTTATCCCGGCCAAATCGGACCTGGGCTTTAACAGAGCGCATTACACCTGGATTGTCCCAGCCTAGCTCGGCCCAAACATGCTCGAACCAATTTTAGCCTAGTCATTACCACGGCCCAAAGTCAGATTATGAAATCTCCCTCACAAGTGTCTATGTCATCCATGACACACTATGACATCAGCCCTATTCTATGATGTCATCTGTGGCATCATCTCTATCCTAATGTTATCCATGACATCAGCCCTATTTTATGATGTAATCCATGACATAAGCCCTAATCTACTTTGGCTTATAAATAGGCTACTTCATCTCATTGTAAAACACAATTCTACATATCAATAAATCTTTTCTCTCTTCTTCTTCATCATCTATATATCTGGCATGATATCAGAGCCATATCTTCCTCCTTGAAGATTTCTTGTTCTCGTCCTTGTCTCTTTTTTTTTTTCAATTCTTGTTTAAAAAAATATTAAAAAAAAATTTAGCATGTTTGACTAGAGCCAAAAATAAGCCCTATGATTTTATTTTAATTTTTTACTCATTATTTGATTGGTTTTCTATTTTTCCTTATTTTTTTAAGAAAATGGGTGGTTTTCTAAAAATCATTGATGGTGAGGTTTTTGGTTGATTTTTCTCTTCCTCCATATTCCTTGGGAGCCGACTATTGCATTGTTGGCCTTTGCTATCCTTGTTTTGCAGTTTTTGTGGGACTTCTCTCCTTGAATGATTGATTCGGCTTATATAGGTGTTGTCCCAATAGTGTTTTCTTGGGTCTAGCTTTGTTTTTTGGGCTTTTCAAGTAGCATACTGGTCTTGAGTTTGTTTTTTTAGACTTGCTTCTGTTTGTTTGGGTTGTCCCTGTTATGTGGTTTTAATTTTCAATGGCTAAGGGTAAGAATAAGGATCCTTCGTTCAATACAGACTATGGGCAGCATCATGTTGTGACTCTTAACGATAGTCCATCTCTTCAAATCAGTCCTGTGAAACTTGATGGCACCAACTACCTGATTTGGTCCTGCTCCTGTAGTCTTACTATTGCTGCTCGCCAGTTGACTGGTTATATTACCAGTGATCTTCCTCAGCCTGCCTATGATGATCCTTTGCATACTCAATGAATGTCTGAGAATGCCTTAGTTATGACTTGGCTCATTAACTCTATGCAACCTACAATCAGTAGGTCTTTTCTTCTACTGGATACTGCTTATAAGATTTGGACTGCTGCTTCCCAAATGTATTCTCAACAAGGTAATGATGCACAGGCATATGAGTGGAGGAAGAAACTTAAAGGCTTGGATCAGAAGGATCACTCACTCATGGTGTACTATGCTGAATTGAGTACCTTATGGTAGGAACTGGATTATTATCGAAGTTTCCAGGCTATTTGTTCCAAGGATGCAACTTTATTTCAGCAAACCGTGGAAAATGAGCGTATGTATGACTTTCTTGCTAGCCTTAATTTGGAGTATGATTAGATTTGCATTCAAGTATTGGGTTGCTCTCATTTTCCCACCTTACGCAAGGCCTATGCTCTTATTTAACAAGAGGAAAGTCGGCGTAATGCTATGGTCTATCCTTATGTTATCAGAAAACGCTAATACCCTAGTGATTTACGTATTGGTATGCACGTTCCGAAACATGGTACACTTTCGTTCCAAAACGGTAAATTTAGTTATTCGAAGCGATCCTAAAAGTTTTCTCCAACATATTTCTTTAAATGTTATCTTAGGAGGAAAAAAAAATTCAAATATATGAACTAAAATCTAAGGTGAGTTAAGTTTTGACGAGATAAAAAAATAAAAAATTAGTCATAATTTTCATAGAAATGATTTGCTACATAAAAAAAAAAAAAATGGATACCTAATAATTAAAAGAAAATTACTCTAAAAGTATCTTAAATTCTCAAGTGTAATATATATAAGTCTACTCCTATCGCACCATATTTTAGAGCATATGGCGTACCACGTTCCCTTTTCGTTCCATGTACCGGAATGATCCACGTCCTAGGTAACATAGGTCAATCCCTCTATTCAGGATCGATTTGCTTTGGTTGTGGCTCCTACCACTCTTGATCCTAAGCCTAGTTCAGTTCAGTTTGGTAGTAAGGGTATCACAAGTGATCGGGATCGTTTGAAGTGTGATTATTATGGAAAAGACCGACATGATTGTGAGCATTGTTAGAAATTGAATGGTCGCCCTACTAGGAGTCGTGGTCGTGGCAGTACAACTCGTCCACAAGCACATGTGTCTAAGATTGCAACTTGTACTTCCTGTGAGCCCAATATCCTTTCCCAAGATGAGTTACACATTCTCAGGTATTTGATGGCTCAGCTTGATTCTCTATCTACCATAGTTCCTTCGACTCCTGCTTCTTCCAATTTTTCCCACACAGATACTCCTGCTAGTACTCGTAGTACATCCTTGTCACTTTCTTGGATTATTGATTCCAGTGCTACCAACCACATGACAGGTGCCTTTAGTCTTTTCTCTACTTATTCTCCTTGTTCTAAGCAGAATAGAGCGGCTGATGGTACTTTATCTTCTATCTCTGGCAAGGGTTTTGTTCATTGCTCATCTTTACCTTCTCTTTCCTCTGTGCTTCATGTTCCTAATTTTTCTACCAACTTACTTTCTATTAGTAGCCTTACTACTTCTCAAAACTGCTCAATGACATTTTTTCCTACTCATTGTGTCTTTCAGGGACTGACTACGGGGAAAACGATTAGCAGTAGTAAAGCACATGGTGGATTGTACTTTCTGGATGTTGTTCCTCCTCCATCACCATTGTCCAACAGTCACGCTCTTCAGTGCACTACTAGTTCTCCTCTTCCCCTCCATCAATGGCATCATCGTTTAGGTCATCCATCCCTTAGTATTTTAGAAAGACTTTTTCCTTCCTTAGTTCGTGATTATTCTAGGAACACTTTTGTTTGTGATGCTTGTGAACTTGCTAAGCATAAACGTACTTGTTATCCTTCAGTTAATAAAAGAAGTATCTTTCCTTTTATGCTTGTTCATACTAATGTGTGGGGGCCTTCTCCCGTAGTGCCTACTTCTCGATATCGTTGGTTTGTCACTTTTATTGATTGTTATTCCTGTGTGACTTGGGTCTATCTTCTTCGAACTAAAAGTGAGATTTTTTATTGTTTTCGCCTTTTGCATAAAATGGTACGCAATCTCTTTAATGCTATTATTAAAATTCTTCAGAGTGATAATAGGACTGAGTATGTTGATGGAGCTTTCCGAGCATGCCTTAAGGAACATGGCATTCTTTATCAGACTAGTTGTGTTGGCACTCCTGAGCAGAATGGAGTTGCTGAACGCAAGAATAGCCATCTTCTTGAAGTTGTTCGCTCCCTTTTGTTTACCATGAAAGTTCCTAAGTCTTTTTGTGATAATGTTGTTCTTACTGATGCTTATCTCATCAATTGTATGCCTTCTAGTGTCCTCCAATTCCAAATTTCTTTTACACTTCTTCCTATGGCTTATCCCACGCCTTCCCTTCCTCCTTGGGTTTTTGGGTGTGTGTCACGACCCAAACCCACCCCTATAGGTTTAGCATTGTAACAGGCCAGTAATCATGGGATTATCGAAGGCCTCTGAGACAGATTAACATAATATTAGGGGCTAGCAGAAGCAAATAGCAATTATACAATATCCATTGAGCTGTACAAACTTATATGAGACATAAAATTTTTAAACTTTATATACATACATTTACACATCATCATATATATACAGACTAGATAGAAAGGGACTTGGCCCTAAATACAAAATAAGCAAAAATAAGAAAACAAGACTTGAACTTTATGCACATAGCCATAACCACTTGACATATCCGGAAGCTCCACAAGAGGCACATAGGTTGGCTGACAAAACAAAGTCTAGGTAGAAGCTCTAGGCCTGGTCACGCGTCTGATCACCTACATACATAAATAATACGGTGAGCTGGAGCCCAGTGAATAATAACAAAGTAAAGGGTTTTAATGAATGATGTCCATCACAGAGTCAGAAATTAGAGTTTATATCACAAACAGAGTCTTATGCATATGCAGATTTCAATCAGAAACAAGTTTATATTCATATTCTTATTCAAATCATATACAGAAATTAGAGTTCATGCTTAATCATACATGGTACATCCATTAGCATTATCATGCTTGTTAGTTCCATTAAGGAACCTCCGGTACCAGGAAACTTGTAACATACTTGAGCCACAGTATTATTACCTCTGGGAAAGGCCTTTGAGACCACGGTATTATTACCTCCGGGCAAAGGCCATGAGACCACGGTATTGTTACCCTCGGGCAAGGGCCTTGTACTAAGGATGCCGCGAATACATTTCAAAAATTTAGACAATCATTTATTCATACAATACATCTTATTTCAGAAAACAGATCATTTCATAGCATCAGAAAATAATTACAGTTAAACATAACTTTATAGAGTTATTACTCACAGATGGCTCAGCTAGTAGATCAGATAAGGCAGACAGATCAGGCAGACAATAGTGCATGACCTACACAAATACATAACATATACACATTGATACATAATATCACTTCCTTGATCAAACTTGACTTTTCTTGTCTTCTGTTTAAATAATCCGAAGGTCTACTACGCTTGTTCTTTCTTTATTCAAATGAATCGGGTTCTCGTTTCACATATTCTTTCATTACTAAATTATTCTTTTCTAAATAAACCAATTTCTTACCTGGCTTCTTAATCAATTATTACTAAGTCAATGGCTTATTCTTTAACCAACTAATTTATGTTGATTGGTAGTTTATTAATCTTATTGAGTCATAATTCTTTCCAAAGAATGCTTGGAAGTGAAAAAGAACGGAAATCGAAATATGAAACGACTTTTCAAAATTTTTTGAAATAGGACTCTTCGCTCGAGCGCAACATTGGTCGCTCGAGTGGACCCGTTGGTCTGCAAAAATACTGGTTGCTTGCATTCTACACTCGAGCAATAGTGACAAATTCTAGGTTTTCCATTGTTTAAATTTCAAAACACATTACCAAGGCGCCAAATTCACACATGACTCACTCGAATATGCAAAAACATTCCCAATTACATTTATTTAAAGTTAATTCCACTTATACTTCAAAATTCCATAATTTTAATTCACATTTAAATCTAGGATTTCACGTTTAAAAATCATCTTTCAATTCTTTCTTTATTTCATGAAACTTAAAATTGAATCTATAAGGCCCTTTCAAAAATATTTGAATGTATGAAATTTAAATCAAAATCAAATTAAATTTGATTCTCAAATATAAGTTATAATTTATTTCCATATTTGTCCAAATTTAAATTTCATTCATTTTCTTCATATCAAGCCCAATTTCAAACTCACAAATTCTAAAACATGCTTCAAAATTCCATAATTTTAATTCACATTTAAATCTAGGATTTCACGTTTAAAAATCATCTTTCAATTCTTTCTTTATTTCATGAAACTTAAAATTGAATCTATAAGGCCCTTTCAAAAATATTTGAATGTATGAAATTTAAATCAAAATCAAATTAAATTTTGATTCTCAAATATAAGTTATAATTTATTTCCATATTTGTCCAAATTTAAATTTCATTTATTTTCTTCATATCAAGCCCAATTTCAAACCCACAAATTCTAAAACATGAATTGATCTTCCAAAACTCTTAAAAAATTCATAATGCATGTACAATTGAAACTCAATTTCATGTTAGGACAACTAAATTCAAACCCAAAGTAATTAATTTCCATAAATTTGAACCTAACTCCTTTGCATGGATCAAAAATTCAATAAATCCTTGTTACATCTAATTTATGGAGCTTAATTTAACAATAACTCTCCAAATTAAACCCAAAATAATTAATTTCTAATTTAATTTCTAGAACATAGCTCCAATTCTTGATTTTCTTTTTAATTACATAAAATTAACTTCAAGCTCTTTTCTATTTTCCTTCAAAACAGGAAATTAAGGTTATAAACTTCTTAAAAAATCATTTGCATGTATGAAACATTTATCAAAATCCAACCAATTCTACATTATTAAGCTCAAACCATAATTAAAATCTTGAATTGCTCTAATCTAGATTTTTATTAATTTTCCTCAAATCAAATCCAAATTCCAACTCATAAAACATGAATTAAAATCTCAAAACCTTGAAATTCCATGATCCATGTTAAGATAGAATTCAAATTACATGGAATAGTGAAGAAATTAAACTCAAATGATCAAATCCCTAAGTTATTTCTTTGATTCTTCCACTTAATATAATTTCTTCATTCTTTTCTTAATTTCTTTCTATTTATATGAAATTGAACCCAATTACTTCTTGATTTGAGATGTAGGGGAGGATTTACTAAAAGATTGGAGTTAGAAATCTTACCTAGAGTTGTTGAATGGTTAAATCTCATCACAAATTCTTGAGTCTCCTTTCTTTTCTTTATTTCTCCTTTGCTTTCTTAGTTGTTTATCTTGAATTCTCACTCTCCAGCAAGCTCTTTTCCAGCAACAAAGATGATGTGAGCTCTTTCTCTCTCTCTCACAGTTTTCTTCTCTTTTTCTTTTTGAGTTCTTGGACTCAATGGTATACTCCACTCTTCAATTCATCACATTACACATATTACTCACATCCCCTGTTTTTGATTACACGTGCACACATACACTCTGGTAGCACTTCCAGCACAACACTTAACATGCACACACCCACTAAATTTTCTCTGCACACCCACACCCAAATGCACTCTCAATTCTAGGTTGTTCCATAATTTTCCATAATTCAAATTATGGTCTTAAAAAAAATCTTTATTAGCACATAATTAAATTAGTCATAGCTAATCATAATCCCACATAATTTAATTTGTCTAATTTGACTTCCATTAGAGCCCAATTAATTATATTAAAGTTTTCTCAATCTGAATCAGAATTTTAATCAAACTCCCAAAAGGCTCCAAATGTCAAATTAAACTTATCACTGTCCTCAATTTTGGTTTCTCACATCATTAAGGCCTTCAATTTTAGATCGAACCCAAAATCTCCATCAATAAATTACATATTCAATTGAACACCTCATAAATAAATTTAATTCATAATAATCTTAAATCCTAATTCTTATAACTTAATTAACTCCAATTTGGACCCAATTAATCAAATCTCAATTTTATAAATCCGAATTGAATATTTAATTAAACTCCCATATGGTCCGATATTCGAAATTAAAATAATTCAATTCACCATTTGTACTATCTTGAGCCATTTAGGCTTTCAATCTCTAATTCTAAAATAAATCCTCAATAGAATCATATACGAATCAACCTCCATAATTTTTTATAATTCCCAAATTAAATTAGAATAATTGGCAATTAAAATTTCAAATCTCCTTAATTAATTAAGTACTAATCATTAAACGTGGTGTGGTCACTACAGTGTGTTTGTTTTGTTCATTTACAACCTCGTACTCATGGAAAACTTGATCCTAAAGCTATACGTTGTGCCTTTCTTGGCTATTCTGCTACTCAGAAGGGTTACAAATGTTACAATCCTCACACTCAAAAAGTGTATGTCAGTATGGATGTCACCTTCCGTGAATCTGAGTCCTTTTTTACTTCTTTTCCACCATTTCCTTCATTCACATAACTTTGAATGGATCACGAAAGTAAAATGATTTATTTATCGAATATGTTGTCACTCGAACCATTTGAATTTGTGCCAGCTGGACGATTGGTTTCACTCTCGTCTACCGCAATCGTTACACTCATCTACAACAGTTTGTCATACTGTCATCCAGATGACCTGCATGAACAAATTTGATGAATGTCACATTACTGATCAAGAAAATGGGTCATGGATTTGCGGGGCAAGAAAAACCAAACCCCATTAGAGGCGGGATGGTAGTAGAAAAAAAATGGTCTTCATTAGGAATGAGAAATGGAAATAGAAAAAAAAAAAAAAAATTTGGAGATTGGGAACAGAGAGTGTAAAACTCACCCTTCTCGTCTCATTGCCATTCCTATTTATACCTTTTCCAACTGGTCGGGTAAGAGTTGGGCATTGGTCGAGTCGGTCTGGATCAAAATTTTAAGGCCTTCAATTTTAGATCGAACCCAAAATCTCCATCAATAAATTACATATTCAATTGAACACCTCATAAATAAATTTAATTCATAATAATCTTAAATCCTAATTCTTATAACTTAATTAACTCCAATTCGGACCCAATTAATCAAATCTCAATTTTACAAATCCGAATTGAATATTTAATTAAACTCCCATATGGTCCGATATTCGAAATTAAAATAATTCAATTCACCATTTGTACTATCTTGAGCCATTTAGGCTTTCAATTTCTAATTCTAAAATAAATCCTCAATAGAATCATATATGAATCAAGCTCCATAATTTTTTATAAATCCCAAATTAAATTAGAATAATTGACAATTAAAATTTCAAATCTCCTTAATTAATTAAGTGCTAATCATTAAACGTGGTGGGGTCGTTACAGTGTGTCTGTTTCGTTCATTTACAACCTCGTACTCATGGAAAACTTGATCCTAAAGCTATACGTTGTGCCTTTCTTGGCTATTCTGCTACTCAGAAGGGTTACAAATGTTATAATCCTCACACTAAAAAGTGTATGTCAGTATGGATGTCACCTTCCGTGAATCTGAGTCATTTTTTACTTCTTTTCCGCCATCTCCTTCATTCACATAACTTTGAATGGATCACGAAAGTAAAATGATTTATTTATCGAATATGTTGTCACTCGAATCGTTTGAATTTGTGCCAGCTGGACGATTGGTTTCACTCTCGTCTACCGCAATCGTTACACTCATCTACAACAGTTTGTCATACTGTCATCCAGATGACCAGCATGAACAAATTTGTGCAATTGGACGACACCAAATTTGATGAATGTAACATTACTGATCAAGAAAATGGGTCATGGATTTGCGGGGCGGGAAAAACCAAACCCCATTAGAGGCGGGATGGTAGTAGAAAAAAAATGGTCTTCATTAGGAATGAGAAATGGAAATAGAAAAAAAAAATAAAAAATAAAATTGGAGATTGGGAACAGAGCGTGTAAAACTCGCCCTTCTCGTCTCATTGCCATTCCTATTTATACCTTCTCCAACTGGTCGAGTAGGAGTTGGGCGTTGGCCGAGTCGGTCTGGATCAAAATTCTATCACTTTATAAGCACTTTGTGTTGAGTCAATGTAATCATTTTAAGTCCAAATCTAAAATTAATCATATAATATAATTTTCAATTCCAATCATTATATATATTTTTTAAATGCAAGTGAACTAATTTTTATAAAATAAAAATTGTATTAAAAAGTCATCCAATCTAAACGTTCCAACATACATAAAAATGTATAACAATATTTCACTTATTACAAATACTTTAATAATTAAAATATTATGTACTCTACTATTATGCATTGAAGCATGAGGATGGAGCATAGCTCACTTTCGGAGAGCAGAGATGCAGGTTTAAAATTAATTTAAATTGAATAGATTACAATTGTCCTTTTTTTTGTTGTGACAAATGCGATAAATTAAATAGGTTATAATTATTGAATCGATATTATTTTTTTGTATTCACGAAATAAAAAATGAAATGTCCAACATAAATAATAGTTCGAATTATCAAAACGAGATCCATGATAGACCTCATAAGACTAAACAATGCTCTTCAGTTCAAATTATGGACCAGAGAGAATTCCCTCATATAAAATAACTACATTAGTGATTCTGTTTTTTTTCTCTCTCTAATTTAAGAGTGGACTGGAGAGAATTCCCTCATATAAAATAACTACATTAGTGATTGTGTTTCTCTCTCTCTCTCTCTCTCATTTAAGAGGTTTCATAGGGAGTAGGGAATCGAATTAAGAGGAAGATCCTCTCCAGTTCAAAATTTGGATTAGAGAGCATTATTTTGGCCCATGAGGCCTACCTCATAACCCGTTTCGATAAGCTGAATTGTTCATTTTGTCAAACACTTTCTGTATTTCATCTACACAAAAAATTAAGTCCATTTGATAATTATAACTTATTTAATTTATTGCTTTTTCACCAACAAAATTGACGACAATTGTGTTCTTTTCCGACATGACCGCAACACTTATTTTGAAGTGTCGGTACTTTATAACACCTAGGTCTCTGCAATAACTTTCTAAAAGTTCTTATTAACTGGTATCCGGTTTCGATCAAATAAACTTTACCATTGCCAACAACTTTACAATGCATAAGGTTCATTCTATCTTTTGATGATTATCAATTTTTATATTTTCTTCCGATTATGTGTTTTTTATTGACATTTTTCATTTTATTTACATATTTTTATTGTTTGAGAGTTCTCTGGTCCAAACATTACAATGCATACATATGATATTAGAATAGTTAATTTTTTTTTTTATCAAACTAAACAAAGCCTTGTATTCCAAACCGATCCAACCCAATAATTTGTCTTTGTATTGTCGCCCACAGCCATTGATCCCAACCACATCGATTTTTGTTATATTTTCTTCTTATTATGTGTTTTTTATTAACATCTTTCATTTTTATTGACACACTTTTATTGCTTGAGAGTTCTTTGGTCCAAACATTACAATGCATACATATGATATTATAATAGTTTAAATTTCTTTTTATAAAACTAAACTAAGCCTTGTATTCCAAACTGTTCCAACCCAATAATTTGTCTTCGTATTGTCCCCCATAACCACTGATCCCAACTACCCAATTCTGCTAAATTTAATGTCATTTTTCGTTAAGTTTAGTAATTAAAATGCTTTTTCTTTTGTGTGTTAATTTTACTTAATAAAAATAGATAAATAATTTAGATTGAAAACAAATCAAAATACTAAGGTTTAAATTGATTAAATTAAAAATTCAAGATTTATTTTGTTATAAGGATCAAACTCTGAAATTTTTTTTTGGATATTTTCTCCAAACTAATATTGTTGGAATGAAATAAAATAGAATGATCAATTTATTTTATACATTATAATTTTTCATTATTGACTAAAAAATAATTATTAGGAAACAAGATTCAATACAAAATTAAGAGACATTTATTTTAATTAAAGAGACAACACTTTATTTTAAAATTAGAAAATTGGAGAGGTATGTTTCACTATTTTGCCTTTTTATTGTTGTATGGTAAATCAATAAGGAATTTTATTTTTTTAGTTAATTATGTCAAACAAAATATTTTGATAAGGTGGCATTTGTAATTTTTTAAAGTATAGAGAACAATTTATATTTTAAGCAAATCGTAAAGGATGTATTTGTAATTTATCTATTATAAAAAGGACCAATTAATTTCACTGAATTTTTTTCTGTTTTTAAATTAAAAATATAGAAAAAAAATTCAAAAAAAATATTGTTTAACCATTCTAATAAAATAAATTATGAGCTTTTAATCATGTCCATTTAAACTTTAATTTTTTAATTTAAATTATTTGTCTATTTATGTCAAATAAAATTGATGAAAGATTAACATTTAAGTCATTATATTCAATATGTTTCAAATCAATTCCAAATTATCTCTATTCTCAAAACTATTTCAAATCAACTTTAGCTCTACTACCAAAGCTACATTAACTCAACCAATATCTAAGTTGAAGTATGCACTACATCATATTTTCAAATTAATCGATTTTTTTCTTTTCTTTTTATGAAACTTTTTAAAGAAGTTATTTGTTACTAATTCATATAAAAATTTAAAATGCAATGAATTTGTATATCGAATTAATAAAAAAATATTTTATGAAAATTGCGATAAATTGTGCTAAATTCAAATTTGGACGATCAAAGTGGAATGAGTAACTAATTTTTAAAATTTTGATTGGTTTAAAAATTATTTTTAAATTTTTAATTCATATTTTTTTTATATGTATGAAATTTTTTAATATATGGCCACTTGTTTTTCAGATACATATACTTAAAAAGTTACAAAAACAACTGAAGAGATTTTTAAAAAAATTTAATAAATACAAAAAATATATGAAAATGTATTAATTTTTTTTTTATATATTTGTTAATATTTAGCAATTTAAAAAAAAATCATAAATTTTATATGTTTTAAGTGTGTTTAAATTGAGTGAATCTAAAAAGATCTACTGCGTAGCTCAAATTTGAGCTTAGGCAGAATGACTTGAATTTCATATTGCCCGTCTGTGTAACGCCACGTATTTTATTCCTCGGATAATATTACCAATATTCATTAATTTAATTCATTTACAAATGACAATTCATCTTTTGATGAATTGATGAATAAATAAATATACATGATCCCTCTCATTACACAACAGTGTCATTTACATATAAATAAAAGAAATGCCCTTAGGCTTACATCCATATTACATACAAGGAAAAAAATACTGATCTCTGAACTATGAGTATATCTTACAACCTCAAAATAAAATCATAAGGCTGCACAAGAAGGAAATTCCATGTCTTGATATTTGAAATCTTCAATTATTTGTGAAATTCATCAACATGGGATGAGCACTAATGCCCAGTAAGAATCTCATAATTCTAAAACAATAACTAACACACAGATATAAATTATCATGCATACAGGGTGATACTATATAGTAAAGTGACGTTTTGTATGCCAAAAATATCATAAGTAAAGTATCATTTCCTCAAAATTCATTTGAACATTCAAGAAAACTTTCTGCCATAAATATTATATATTTCCTTATTTAATTTCCATTTTACAATTCAAAAATACAATAACCCTATAACGTTCAAGTCCAAGTTCTCCTTATATTCAAAGACAATCGTCATACACTCTATTCCCACTTATCTATCTGTCACATCATATCAACATTTCTATCATCACTAATAATTCAACTTGAATCAAGAATATAAACCCCTTTCAATTCAATTTCTCAAATATTTGCAATTGATTTCAAATCCTTCTTTCAAGTAAACATTTGTTTTCAATTTATGAAATAAATCCTCAACCTAATTGAAAACCCACTTTAGACCAAAGTTTCGAATCTAGGATTTTTAAGAAAACTCATCATTTATAAGATTAGATGATTCACTCCTCATAAAATCATTCTTCATAAATTCACACAAGATTCTTTCTTTTTTCTTAAACTTCCAACCCAATTATATCACAATTACCATAAATCCACAATCCTTAACTCAAATTGATATTGCTTGGTATTTTGAGAAGTTGATAAAAAACTGACTTTTTGACTTTTTTAGTCTATTTTGTCTTTTTGTGAGTAAAAAATGTAAGAGGTGATGTGACCCAAAATGGGTAAAAAGCTCAAAGCTAGCTTTTTTTTTTTTTTTTCCTTCCCAAAACACCCTCACAAAATAAAACTTATAATCTTCACTTAAGGTCACAAAACAATCCGGTGAGTTCATCATCACCAACCCCTTACCCAACTACCATTTCATTTTCCATTTCTTTCAAGTAATTTCTGTATGCATTTATCCTCTATACAAAATCACACAACACATTGTAATTTCATAAGTTCATTACGAGTCATACCCATTATCTCCGACTCAACACATTTCACTTTTTATCGGCTCAATATGGTGGGATAGCGGGCAACTAACTCACAACACATTCCACGTTTTGTGAGCTTGATACGGCGGGATAATGAGCATCCGAAAGTTTTTTATGCAATCCCCACAATTACCGACTATTATACATCAGGACATGTACACCCAAAAACATTTAATACAATCACTGAGGGGTCTATCATCAAATCTTCCATAAAAAAATTATTCCTTAAATTTTTGATAATTTTTTTTTTTGGTCAAATAAATTGTAACTCCATTATACCAAATAAATTGGTAAAAAAATTAACAAAAAAGAAGAAGGTAAAAGTTAACATTTAGCATAAATTAACATGTTAAATAATTACCATTTAGCATAAATTGGTCAAATAAAATTAACATGTTAATTAACATTTAGCATTTAGCATTTAACATGTTAATTAGCATGCATAAATTACCATTTAGCATAAATTACCATTTAGCATAAATTAACATGTTAATTAACATGCATAAATTACCAATTAGCATAAATTGGTCAAATAAATTGGTAAAAAAATAAAAAAATAAAAAAATTATACCAAATATTCTAGTAGACACTCAGAATTAACATTTAGCAACTCCATTATTATTATCATGGTCATCAAAAAACAAAATTAAATAATAGAACAAGAAGATAGTTGACTCTTGGTGGTTTGAACACAAGCAAATCGAGATGAAGACAGCAAAGGTAAAAGTTCACACAAAAAGAAAAAGAAAAAAAAAAAAAAAAAAGGGTAAAAAGTTTCATGGTAGGGTTTCGTGGTAATGCCCATTGGCGAGTGGTCATGATATGTTTTTCAATGTCCGGTGGGTGGTCATCATATATATATTTTTTTCATAATCGAGTATCGAGAATGTGCGATAGAAAAGTAAAAAAATAAGTACACAAAAAATAAGAGGACATTTTAATAATTTGAGAAGCGAGTTTAACCTATTTGTAATTACTTTTATTCTTTCCACTCTTGTTGTAATTGAAATACTTTTTTTTTTCCCCTTTGATTTGTAAGTATTTTTGTTTTGTAATTATTCCTATTTTGAAAAGTATTTTTGTTTTGTAATTATTCCTATTTTGAAAAATTACAAATTTGCACAAAAGTGAAAAAATTAATTACTAAATTTAATGAAAGCTTGTTAAAACTGCAAATAGAATTTAGATGAACAAAAACTAATTTTAAGTAGGAGTGGAATCTCACTTGAGAATTTACCAAAACTGATTTTGCAATGCAATGTTTTCCACAACAGCACAGCACAGCACAGCACAGCACAGCACCTCCGCTGAAGTCAGTTTTGTTTTGTCTCAAGCAGATTTGTTCAAAAACAAGTTCAAAGCTTTCAAATTCAACACAAAATTCATCAATCACTTGGCTGCAGATTATTTGCCTTCCCAAAGATTCACCACCTGCACCTACATTCTCTCTCTCTCTTTTCTCTGAATAAAAAGTATGTTTGTGAAGCTCATACATTCTCTGCAATAGAAATTGTGAAAAAAGCAAAAATTCACATAATGGTAATTTGTAGACATATTCTTTGCAGTACAGCATACCAAGAAACAAGGAAAACCCTAGCAGAACCCAAAAAACAAAAAAGCCCTAAACCCTAGGCTTTATTTCACAATTGCCTACCAGCAGCATCAGCAACAAAGGGCAAGTAAGGGGTCCGACCCAGAATACTATAAACCAAGCTATAAACAAAGCAAAACACAATGAACACGAATATAGCATTATGACTCATCACCATGATCTTGTACCCAATCCCAGCCCGACCCGGATTGAAGATCCGCTGAAGAAGGAGTGGAATCACGAGGAGCACATCCAGCACCACCGCTTGCATAGCATTGAATCTGACATACCGGCTCAGACTAGGGTTTCGCACCACCCCGAGATAGAGTGCGAAGAAGGCAACGAAGCTCGCGTACGGCACAGAGCGGTACAGGCTGAGGAGAGGTAAGATGGGCTCGAAGGCGGCGCCCAGAGTGGGGTACTGGGCGAAGACGAAGCGCCCGTAATGGAGACCGTTGAAGAAAGGGAGGAAGTACGCCACGGCGGAGATGAGGCGGTCGGTGGCCGGAGTTGGGTTGTAGGACATGGAAATGGATCGGACGGTTGGTGGTGGTGGGGTGAGTCGGGGGAGTGAGATCGGGACCGTTGGTCGGAGCGGATGAGGCAACCGGGCGGTGATATTGGCAGAGGAAGAGGAGGGTTTTTTTGATGGGGAGGTCTGGGGTGGGAGGAGGGAGAGGCGGAGGAGAGGAATGGACGCCATTTTTCTTCGATTGCTGGTTGTTTCGGGCGGTTTGGGTTTGGGGTTGTGGAATGGCAGGTTGGGGGTTCAAGAAAATATATTTGGTTTTAATTTTTTAGATTTAAATTTTTGAAAATTGAGTTGTTATTTATTATTTTTTTTAGTAAATATTTTTAAAATTTTAATTTTTTTTTGATGTACCTTATTTAGATGTATTTAAAAAGTAAAATATTTTAAACAATCAATAAATATATAAAAATATAAAAAATGTATTGAATCCTCGTATTTTTATTTTTATTTTTTGTATTTTTGGTGTTTAATAAATTATTTAAAGATTTTTTTCTCAAATATTATACTTTTTAAGTGTATTTATTTTAGCAGATTGAATTCCACCGTCATATAGTCTTTGGAAGGGATATGAGCAGGATGAGAGCTACTCTGTCTATTTTGAAATAAAAAATATTTTTCAGAAAATGACTTGTGTTTGATATGACGAAAAATAATCTAACTCTTTGACTTTGGTAATATTTGATAAAGTTAAAAATTGAAAATTGAAAATTAAATATTAAAATTAAATGTTGAATTTTTTAAGTTGAAAAGTTGTTTAATAAAAATTTAAGTGTTGAATTAAAAATAAGTTATTTGATATATATAAGATTAAATTTAAAATTTATTATTTTTAAATTATGTATTTTAATTTTTATATTGCGATGGTGGTGATAGTGGTGGTGGCGGTGACGATGGTGGTAGCGGTAGCAATGGTGGTGGTGTTGGTGGTGGCAGTGATATGATGGTTGTGGTTGCGGTGATGGTAGCGGTGATAGCAATGGTGGTGATAGTGGGGGTGGCGGTGGCGGTAACGATGATAGAAATAAAATTGGTGATGGTGATGGTAATGAGTTTATAATAATATATATTGATACTTATGTTTAGTATTTATAAATTCAGTTAGAAGTAAGTTTTAGATGATTTAAAATTTCCTTTATAAAGGGAGATTTTTTTTAAGGTCCCTAATAATAACAATTTAAAGGATAAAGGACACCCAAAAAGATTAGTGATGCATCACGTCCCTAAAACAACTTGGCGCGCGTTTTTAATTATTTTGTGGACCAAAATATCCTTGCCAAAATCAACACAGAAACAAACTCATTCCGACGTCTGAGTTACATTCCAAACATCCAGCATCTTCACGAACAGGAGAACAGTAGAATTAGGGTTTCAACATCATCTGCACCATCGACATTAGAGCTTCGTTATCTTCTCCAAAAATCATTCTCATTCCTTCCTCGCAAATTTCTCTGACCTAGGTTAAAGTTTCGTTTTCACTGCTCATCATCATCTCAGTCCATCTTCGTCACGTCGCATCTTCATCTCGGGCCATATCAGCTCGTCATTGAAGTTTCATCCTAACTCTGGTCAGTTTTTCTACAATACAACTAGATTTTCTCTGGAAACACAGTTAATAGCATTTTATAATAACCTTCCATAAATTAGGGTTTCAATTTCGTAATAAAAAGTTACCTGAATTTGGAAAAAGTTATTTCTGTGTATTTTGAACTTATTCTTCAACATGTTTGTGTGATTTTATCTGTAAATTTCTCTGGCATTTGAATTTCTCTGATTTTTGATTAATGTACGTTTCTTCTTTCAATTTTCTCTGGCATGTTTATTTTGTGTTTCTGTAATATGTATTCTTGAATCTGTATTTTTAATTGGAATTTTTTGGTTCCAATGTCTTAAGTTTCTCTGGTATTTTTAATTAGGGTTCCAATGTCTATTGCTTTCTTGCCTCTGTCTACAGGGTGGTATTTATAATTTTCTCTGACTACATCACATCACTTTCCTCCCTTGTGTTTTTGTCATTTTTAATTTTCTCTGGAATTTTAATATTATGGACTGGAATGAATGTTTCTTCTTTGAATTTTCTCTGCCATGTGTACTTTGAGAAAAAGTTATTTCTCTGAATTTTGATCTTATTCTTGAACATGTTTCTGTCATTTTGTCTATGAATTTCTCTGCTTTATAAATTTCTCTGGAATATGTATCTTTCTCTGCAATGTCTATTACACTCTTGCCCCTGTCTAAGTTTCTCTGGTATTTATAATTTTCTCTGACCACATCGCACCACTTTCCTCCCTTGAGTGTCTCTATTATGGTTAATTTTCTCTGGTTGTGTATGTAAATTTCTCTTGCATTTTAATATTATGAATTGAAATTTTCTCTGGAATTGAAATTTCCTCAAGAATGTGTAATTTTCTCCAGAATGTGCATTTTTCTCTGGTATGCTTATTTTGTTCAATTCTTGATTTCAATATGGTGTAATTCTCAGTGGCATGTTTACATTACTTTGTTTATTTTATCTTTGCTAATTGTGGAATGGAAATTTTCTTTCGCTTGCCATGTTTACTTTTTTCTATCATTCATTTTCTCTGGTATGTTTACTTCTATATGTAATTTAAACAATTATTGAAAATTTCTCTCCCATGTTTATGATGTTGTGTTGATTTTCTCTGACATTTAATTTTTAATGTCAAATTTTCTCTGACATGTCCAATTTTTTGTAATTTTTCCTTATCTGTAATTTTCTCTGGCATCTCCAATTTTCTCTTTTTTGTAATGTTCTCCCTTATCTGTAATTTTCTCTGACATGTCCATTTTTCTCTAGGATTTAATGTTGACATCTCTATGTTTTAATCATTGTCTAGAAATGGCAAAACATAAAGGCAGCGAAACACCGGAAACACCAAGCAAAAAACAGAAACTCTCTCAATCTTCTTATGGACTAGGATAAAAAACCAGCAGCAAAACACCAAGCAAGAAAGAACAACTCTCTCAGTCCTCTTATCATCTAAGATCAAAAACCAGCACCAAAACACCACAAACTCCTCCCCAAAACACACAAGTCCAAGCTGATGAAGCAACTAGCATCCAAATGAGTACCCCAACTTCAAAAAACTCAAGCTCAAGGGGGAAAAAACCTGTTAAACTCCACAGAAAGAGAGCTCACTAAAGCATTCAATTCTGATCCAACCTCTCATCTGTCGTCTCCTTCTTTCAAACACTTAAATTCAGTTCAAAACATCTTCTAGAGCTTCAAAAGACCCCATTCTGGTATTTGATTCAAGCTCTAACCACTGGAAGGATGGATCCAAAGAAATCTAGGAAATCCGATGATGATGTAGTTGCCATAATCCAATGTTACAATGAAAAAACAAAAGCATTCACAGTTGGGAAGAAGAACCTGACCTTTACAACAAATGACATGACCTTGATTTTTGGTTTGGAAGGAGGTAAAGGAGCCATGTCATTAAGATACTCTAAAAAGCCAAAATCTGCATTCCTCAGAAGAAGATTCCAAAAAAAAAAAAAAATCCCAGCTTTCCTTCCTTGTAAGCTGCATCATGAAGGAGTACTTTAAGGAAGCAGATCCATTGCTGATGAAAGCCCTTTTGGCATCCCAATGGACCTTTTTGAACCCCAAGTGAAAGCATTATACACTCACCAAGATCAATTAAATATGATGGAACAGAAAGACAAACAAATAATCCTAAATTCCTAGCACAAATTAGCCATATGTTAGCAATAAGGACATAGCACTTACAGACAAATGATAGAAGTAGAAATACCTTTGTGCTGCCAGACAGTTCTTTCTTCAGATTTGCAAGATCATCATCAACTGAAGAGCTCTCTAGCAATGCAAACTGTAAAAGAAAGAAGTGTTTGGAATTGTAGAATTACATAAAACCAAGTAAAGCGCTTCTCGTTTGGAAACTGTCTCAACAGGTCCAATTAATTTATGTTCAAGACCAACAACTGAGGATGGCACTAATATTATAAATGTTCGCATCGTATGTCATACACCTCTTGTAATATCTCGATTTTTATACAACTTTTTATTTATGAACATTTTCTGCATGAAATGTAAATTGGTTTAATTTATAAATTTGAAAAAGTTGGAGAAATTTCATAATTTTAAAACACAGATGGAATTTTCCTAATAGTATGACTTAAATTCTAACAAATTAACACTTAAAATATAAATTTGGGACTAACTGGACTAGTCCCAATTGGTTAACTTGGCACTTGATAAGTTGATATGATTATAGAGATGGAATGCTGATTATGTTGGTATTGTCTATGTTATTTGACAGTAAATGGGTTGTTAGGTTTTCGTGTTCCATAGGCCAAGGCAATGTTGTTCATAGCAGGTCATCTGTCAGCTATCGTGTTCCATTAAAACAATAATTTTTTTGTGTCTCTGGTCAGATAACAGTGACAAGGATAACCATGGTCGTTGACATGCTTATTTTCAGTCATCCATATGAATTTGAAACTTCTATCCAGTCAACAAGAAAAATATTGCACTAGAATGAGCAGAAGAATTTCTTTTTAATTCTTTATTTACACATGTTCGATGACGATAATAACCACAACAAGAACACCACCACAAACTTGCACATATGATGGGGCATCATACAAACAGTGTAGTAACTATGGTGTAAGCTAGATGCTCCGCAGGCAATATTCCATGGCCATATATTTGCAGAAGGCTGGTTCGAATAACACAGTTCCAAATGTTCATCTATTTGCATATGGCACCTCATCCTTC